TAATGTTGCCCTCAGTAATTGGCGTAATTTCATTAATGCCCTCTAGATAGGCATACCACTTACGAACTGTGGGCTTCTGGGCAATGCCGGCAGGTGGTATTGTTCCCTTACGGACTATATCCAAGAGGCGGAAAGGTCCTCGAATGACCATATTCTGTTTTCTCCTTATTTGTTCTGTCTGCTTCACTGCTCGCACCAGGGACAGCAAACCCTTCTCAAGATCTGAATATCTCCTTTCAGTATCATTAAAAGAGTGGGAGCTAAATTCCAGTGGTCTTTCCGGTCCCTCTGGCCCCCTTTGCCACAGGTTACAATGGGAACCATGTTCACTGAACCCCCATTCCACATGGATAGGGTCAGTTGGATGTATAGGACCAAGTTGCTGGAATATCCTCAGTTCTTTTATTAACAATTCTAATGCACTTGTATGCTGTTCAGTCCATTCCCAGGATTTTCCCCTTCTTAACAAATTGTACAGGGGACGTGAAATAATAGCAAAGCCGGGAATATGTTTGCACCAGTAACTTAAAGCGTCTAGGACTTGTTGTAATTCTTTTACGCTAGATGGCTTTTGTCCATGCTGTATTGTTTCTAGGGTGTCCGGAGGAAGAGAAGCGGCTCCTTTAACCCACCAGACTCCCAGGAATTTAACTTCCTGTGCAGGTCCCTGGCACTTTGAGTCTGGGATTTCCAGTCCTAAGTCGAGCAGTGCTCCCCGAATGTTTTCCATTGAGTCTCTTACACTGTCTTGGCTCTTCCCCCCTATCAAGATGTCGTCAATATACTGATATACGGTACTATCGGATGAGATAGGAATCTCTGCTAAGATCTTAGCCAGAGCATTGTGAGCAATAGTGGGGGAATGTTTATATCCTTGCAGCAGCCTGTTAAAGGTGTATTGGATCCCTTTCCATGTAAAAGCAAACTGCTTTATCCTGTTCAAGGAAAGGAATCATAAAGAACATATCTTTAACATCTAAGGCAGCCATCCAAGGATGGGCAGCTCCTTGTATCAGTGTTACTATTTCTGCTAGGTTTGGGGCTGCGGCAGTCAAAGGGGCAGTAAGTATTGGCATTTAACTGTCAGTAATCCACTGTAAAATGCCATTGCCCGGTTGGTTTTTTTACTGGCCACACCGGGGAATTGTAAGGCGAGTGAGTCCTTTTAATAATGCCTCTTTTTCAATCTCACTATGCCTGATTCCTTTTCATTTCTCGTGAAACTCCACACAGTTCCATCAGGGAGTCTCCACATATGTCCACGTAATATATCAAATCCTAAAATGTTAGTATATGAGGCACCAACTAACACCTCTGCTCTGGTTAATCTTTGTTCCTCTGACAGCCGGAGTGAAATCTTTGCAGTAGCGCATTCCTTTTCCACACCATTAATTCCGGCAAATTTAACCCTATGTCGGCCAGGTCTTATGTCCAGGGTTTGTGCTGTTTCATTTGTGATTACTGACATTTGGGCCCTGGTGTCAATGAGAAAATCTACTAATATTTTTCGGGGTCCAACAGGAATAGCAATAATAAGATCAGCATATTCATTTGAGAGCCACTGAATTGCTAATACCCGCCGGGCAGGGTGGCTCACTGCTCTCCCTGGGGATGGAAGTTTTTTTGCTGGGATCTCCCCTCATCAATCAAGCTTCGTGCAGGGGGGACACTTTCTTTATGGGTTGGAGGTTTCCCAGTTGGGCAATTCTCCCAGGCTGAGTTATTCCTTTTACCCAGAGATTGGATCAATGTACGGAGGTCCTCTGTAGAGGTGCCACGCAAAAATTGTCAGGGTATACCCAAATCTAGGGCTTTGCACCACAGCTCACCTCGTTCTTTATTAGGTTTGAACCTCCCATTAAATTTAGGATTCTGTGCGTGGACTTGGCTGACTCGCTGGGCATGATCTGGGGGCTTTATACTGGATGAACTAATCCAGCCCATTCGGCATCCGTATTTATCTATGTCTTGTAAGAATTCATTCCAGGTGGGTATGGGGGTGTGTTGATTTCGTCTACGGCCGCGACTACTATCTCTATAATCTGCTTGCATGCGATCTTGGGTATTCGCTACAAACATTTTAAGACAATCAGGGAGACCACGAATAAGAGGAGTTAATCGTGCCGGGTCGATGGGGGCTGGCATCGGAGATTTCCTTAACTTATCTCTTTCATATATTGCTTGTATGCAGGCTGCTTTCTGTACTGCTGCAGCCCGATCAGAATAGCCTGTGGCTTTAATCTCCAGGGGTTCCCCTCTCTCCTGAGGATCTATGCCACCAGCCCAGTATGCAGCCCGTGCAGTTAAGGAATGATTATGCCCCCCCGGTGTGGTAGTTAAAAATACTCCTGGTCCCCAAAAGCCTCCTGCTTCTTCTTCACTTAACATAATCCGATCTCCTCCTTCAAGAGAAACTCGACACACATACTCAACTTCCGATTCTCCTGACCACCTGGAGAATTTCTCCTGTATTTGCATCAGCTCTGCTGGTGACCATGGGATTGTCCGCACAGTAGTGCGGGTTTCATCATCATCACCAACAGTGGTCTCAGTTTTAACCAAAGCATCAGAGGCGCTGCGGAAGATCTTGGTGTTGCCCATGGCTGTCCTGACTGATGCCTGCAGCTCGTACCTCGTGCCCATGTCACACAGACGATTTGGGGGGCAGCAGGTCTCTCTCATGGCTCCCTGGGAAAGAGGGAAAAGCAAATCCTATCACTCCCCTTTGTGGTCTGTCCCCAGGGTGACCGAGTGGAGACATACCGGGAGCTGGAGAGGATCTTGCAGGGAGATGATGGCTGTTTGACAAGCGGTGTTGTGAACCGCCTAATAGCAGAGGCATCCAGTGACATGCGAGCAGCCCAGGTGAGCTTGTCCTCTTTCAAGGCCACCAAAGCAGCCTGCCTCTGCCCCTGGTTTGGGGGGAAATACAGAGTGGCGCAGAGATGTTCTTCGGTTATTCAGACCCAGCGGAGGTCCTAAAGGAAGAGATTCTGGGGACTGGTCATTACAGGGAATTTGGCGAGGGGATGCAGAGAGCTGTGCAGACACGCTGACTTGGAGCTGTTTCTAACTGAATGAGAGCTGGGTTCAAGCTCAAGGTTATTTCTCCTGCCTTGAGGAAGAGCCGTGGGAACCCACCAGCCCCACGGAGAGGTCCCAGGGGGGTTTCGAGTCTGCGACAATTTGTTCCAGTTGGTCAGTTAAGCGCCCCTTAATTGTACCTGCATTGCTTCAGCTGAATTCCTGCCTGGCACAGGGTCCAACCAACACCTCCCTGTCACTGCCTGTGTGTCCTTGTCGTTAGGGGTCAAGAATGTCAGTGTCCAGAGGGGAACATTTATACCTCTCATAGACATCTGTGCTCTGGTAGGACAGACCATGCTTTTGTAATCAGTGTCTCTCCACTCCTCAGAGAGGGACAATTGGTGATTATTTCAGTCAGCTAAAAAGTCTATTCCCCAAGGGTGATTCTGCTGCCTTTCAGGAGCTGTCAGCCCTAGAGCCCCTGGGACATCTCCAGGGAGCCCAGAAGGGGGGCAGAGAAAGCAATGCCTTGGGCTGGTCCTCTGCTCATAGGAGGGAGCTCATAGAAAGCAGGCAGTGCTTGTGAAAGACAGCTCTGCCCAGGAGCAGCTCCCCTGCAAAGCGCAGCAGGGCTGAGGGCAGTGCCTGCAGGCAGTGAGGGGAGAGGAGCGAGGCAGAGCAGTTAGTGGGAGGACAGCTGAGCTCTCAGTGCGGGAGAAATCTTCACAGGTCTTTACATGGTAGGTCACTGGCTGCAGGACAGTGCACATGAGTATCCTGGAGGGCTCTCCAAAATCTGGTACATCCAAAGCATCTGTCAGAACAACCCTCACAGTTTATCCAGTTTGTAGGAAGACGTGCTGCTGAGCAAGGCTTCCCTGCTGCATCATCAGAGGGACAAGACATGACAGCTGCCTTCTGCCGGGTACAGCTGCAGGGGTGTGAAGCTGGGTGTACATCCAGGGGTGCCCAGGACTGTCCTTCCAAGCAGGGTCCCTGCACCCCAGGGGCCTGTGTGCTGGGGCAGGACTCTGCCACCTGCCAGGGTCAGCGCTCCGCCTGCCTGTGGAGCTCTTCCCGCAAAGTGCAGCAGGGCTGAGGGCAGTGCCTGCAGGCAGTGAGGGGAGAGGAATGAGGCAGGGAGAGGTTGGTGGAAGGACAGCTGGGCTCTCAGTGTGGGAGAAATCTTCACAGGTCTTTACATGGTAGGACTCTGGCTGCAGGGCAGTGCACATGAGTATCCCGGAGGGCTCTCCAAAATCTGGTACATCCAAAGCATCTGTCAGAACAACCCTCACAGTTTATCCAGTTTGTAGGAAGACGTGCTGCTGAGCAAGGCTTCCCTGCTGCATCAACAGAGGGTCAGGACATGATGGCTGCCCTCTTCTGGGTACAGTGCAGGGCTGTGAAGCTGGGTGTACATCCAGGGGTGCCCAGGACTGTCCTTGCAAGCAGGGTCCTCACATGCCAGGGAGCTGTGTGCCCCTTTGCCTCTCAGGACTCACAAGGTTTCCCTTGCAGTGCAGCAGAAATGCCAAGGATTTCTGCCTTAAAACAATCCTCAGGTGTTGGGGGGCAATGAGGACAAAAAAACCAAATCAAAACCCCAAAGCTCTGCTCTGCAGTTGGGTGATTTGGCAGCCACAATGCTGAAAACCTTTTTGATATCGTGCGTGGATTTGCTCTGAGATCACCCTGTGTTCCTGTTTACTTTTTGCTGTAGGGCAGGACTGACTCCTCCAAAGTCAACAGCAGAGCCCCCTGCTCCCAGTGACACCCTTAGCTGGCCCCAAACAAAGCTCATGAAAGGGACCTGCCAGAGGTATTCCTGAAAATGGAAGCAGCAGATTGGGGGATTTCTATGAGAAACAGAGTAGGTTTTGCTCAGAGAAATGTCCCTTAACTTCTCAATACCTTTTCTTCCATGGATAGTCATCCATACCCAGAAGCAGCCAGTGTCTAATAGCAACTCCATGACGCAGTTCTTCTTCCTGGCATTCACAGAGATGCGGGAGCACTTCTGGCTCTTCATGGGCATCTACCTGGCTGCCTTCCTGGGCAACGGCTTCTTCATCACTTCCATAGCTTATGACCACTGCCTCCACACCCACATGTACCTCTTCCTCCTCAACCTCTCTTTCTTCAACCTGGGCTCTGTCTCTACCACTCAAAAATTCATGGCCAATTCCTTCTGGGACACCAGGGTCATCTCCTTCTTAGGATGTGCTGCCCAGGTCTTTTTCTTTTTGATGTCAGCAGAACTGTATCTTCTCACCATCATGGCCTATGACTGCTACATTGCCATCTGCAAACCCCTGCACTATGGGACCCTCCTGGGCAGCAGAGCTTGTGCCAAAATGGCAGCAGCTGCCTGGGGCAGTGGTTTCCTCCATGCCCTGCTTCATACTGCCAATATATTTTCACTACCACTCTGCCAAGGCAATGCCATTGTATTGGGTCTGGCTGAGATGGAGTTAATCTTCCCCACAGCAACCCTCGTAGTGCTGTGCTTTGCATTGGTAGCTAGAAAGGTGTTGATAACACACCAGTGTTTTGGCTACTGCTGAGCAGTGCTCACACAACAACAAGGTTGTCTCTCCAACATTTCCCCCCCTCCCATGAGTAGGCTGGGGGTGGACAAGATCTTGCGAGGGGACATAGCCAGGACAGTAGACCCAAACTGACCAAAGGGATATTCCATGTCATATGATGTCAGCTCAGCAATAAAAGCTAAGAGAAAGGGGG